ACCATTGACAAGCAACTCCCTGGCCCACAACTATGCTGCCGACCAGAGGGAGAACCTACTGGATGCTATCACAACTCTACTCGAGAAGCAGGCGATCGAAGAAATAAAACAGGAGTTCGTCACGGTTTTTACTCCCCAATCTTCTTAGTACCAAAGAAAAATTTCAGGGAAAGGTTCCGACTTATATACAACATGAGGAAATTCAACCAAGATTATCTACGCAGCCCCTCAAAGTTCAAAATGATTCATCTGCCTCAACTACAACAACTCGTACGTCCATTACACTACCTCGCCAGTATAGATCTACAGGATGCGTATCTTCACATCCCGATACATCCGGACTCAAGGAAATACCTATGATTCCTCTTCAATGGAAGATGGAAGGTATAATAAACAACTTCAAAATGTCTCGTCTTCGTTTTTGAAGACTATGAGCAGTTTTCCTTTTGGATTTTGTTCTTTTCGGATTTTGTTCTTTTCGGATTTTGTTAACTTTTGTTAATGAGCAATGGAAGGTCCCAATGGAAGGTTCTACGATTTGGAATATCATCGGCCCCCTGGTTGTTTACTCGAGTGAGAAAGCCAATCATCACTTATCTACATCATCGAGGTCTGCGCAGTGCATTTTACCTGGATGACGGGATTCAAGCTCATCAAGATCCCAGTCAACTCAGACTGCAACTAGACTTCAAAATCAGACTACTAGGATGGATAGTAAATCTCCTCAAATCGAAACTACAACCCACACAGGATCTGCAATTCCAAGGAATACGGTTCGTCACATCGCAGAATCGCACAGTCGTCCCAGAGGAGCGTTGGGTCAAGATACAACAAATAATATCTCAAGCAGTACTCTCTTCCTTTACCACTACGAAGTTGGCAGTGCCTACCTGGTCTTCTCACGTCAGCACAAGTCATGACACGCAGAGGAAGCCACGATGAGCCTCCAATCCTCATGAAATCAGAGCACTGGCATCGACACTTGCCCTACATGGAAACTGCTCCATCTCGACAATAATGGAAGGCTGCTATTGGAAGTCAGAGTTGAGTTGAGTTGAGTTGAGCTTTACGTCACATCGGCATTTTTCCAGCCATATAGTGACAAGAACAAGTTTGCATTAGTAAATATTGTAAGTACATACTCGGAATGAGTTTTATTTCAAAGACATTTATTGATTACATTGTCATTCAAAAGCAGAAAAAGTCATAGCATCAAATTTAAAGGCAGGCGGTTTGTTACATTTCATAGTTACAATTTATGGTTGTTACATTTCACAGTTACAATTTATGATACAGTTCAACTTCCCTCAGGTAGTTCAGTATCAGATGGGCGCTCACGCGTGAGAACAGATCTTTTAGGTTTGTTGCATCATAATGTGAGTCCCTTGCAGGCGATAAGTCCACGCATTCAAGCAGAATAGCTTGACGATGAACACCTCATCGCATGAGACACACATGGGGGGTCCACCCCCATCCGTTTTCAGCAGATAGTCATGTGTAAATCGACTGTGGCCAATACGACATCGTCGTAAAATTACCTCATCGCGTCTTGACTGACATCCCAAGTAGGTATAACCGATTGTTGGCTTCAATTCATGGAGTTTGTTTCTTCCTACTTGAGTGTCCCACCTTTTTTGCATCAGGTCCCGAGTATAGCTTTTGATAGTGGGTTTGAAGTCACTGTATGGGATTAGCAGTGGAGATAGGGGCTTTTCAAGAGCTGCTTTTGCTGCAGCATCGGCCTTAGTGTTACCTGCTATGCCGACGTGACCCGGCAACCAGCAGAGGATTATGTCATATTGGCCAGTAGAAAGGTCGTTGTACAGTTCTAATATGTCCAGGATGATTGGGTGACTTGAAGTCACACTTAGAAGTGCTTGAAGGCAGGATAATGAATCTGTAAATACGGTGAAGTTTTTGGACTGATTTTGCTGTTGAATGTAGGTCAAAGCTGAGAGGATAGCTTTGGCTTCAGCGGTGAAAATGGAACTGTTGTCGGGGATCCTAGAGGAGACAGTCTTGGCTCCAATGACTGTAGCGCTGGCTACTTGGCCATCGTCCTTGGATCCGTCTGTGAAAATGGATCTGTGAGTGTTATACTTAGAACGTAATTGGTTGTATTCCTGTTGGAACACCAAGGGATTTGTTTCAGACTTTTTGAGTTTGGTGAGGGTGAGATCGACCTGTGGTTTCACCATTTGCCATGGTGGTGAGGACAGAAGTCGGTATGGTGCAATGATGTCGAGATCAATTTTAGCTGCAGTTATGTGTGGTTTGATCCTGATTCCAAGTTGTGGAACCAGGCTTGGCAGTTTAGGAAATAAGTTTTCATAGAGCGGGTTGAAAACACAATTGTATGCTGGATTGGACTCATTTGAACGTAATTTAGTGATATACTGCAGTGAGAGTTTAATGCGGCGTTGTTCAAGGGAAGGTTCATTGGCCTCTGCATATAGACTGTCTACCGGGGAGGTCCTAAAAGCTCCCAGGAAGAGCCTTAGTCCTTGGTGGTGGATAGAGACTAATTTTTCTAAATTGCTTTTGCAGGCTCCACCGTAGACAATGGAGCCATAATCTAGTTTACTGTGGACTAATGATCTGTACAAGTGAAGGAGGGTGGTCTGATCCCCTCCCCACTCTGTATTTGAAACTACTTTTAGCAAGTCTAAAGCCTTCAAGCACTTTGTTTTCAAATATTTTATGTGTGGTAAGAATGTCAGGTGGCGGTCGAATATGAGTCCAAAGGAATTTGGCCTCTTCTACTACTTTGATGGGGAGTACCATCTAAAGTTAGGTCTGGATCCTTGTGTGGTTTGTATTTACGACAAAAAGTGAATACAATTTGTTTTGGATTTTGAAAACTTAAAACCATTTTCATTGGCCCATTTTTGGATTTTGTTAAGGCAGAGTTGTAGCTGCCTTTCTATTAATGCATGTTCTTACCACGACATGAAATATTGAAGTCATCGGCTAAAAGCGACCCATCAACGCAACTGTTCAGAACGTTAGTGAGGCTGTTAATTTTGATGCTAAAAAGTGTGACAGACAGGATGCTGCCTTGGGGGACGCCCTGATCTTGGTGGAAGTAGTCAGACAGTGTGGAACCCACCCGAATTTGAAATTGTCTGTTATTTAAAAACCGAGATATGAATTGAGGTAATCTACCCCTCAATCCAAACTCGTGTAAATCTTTTAGGATACCATGTTTCCATGTTGTATCATATGCTTTTTCTAAGTCGAAAAAGATAGATACTGCATGTTGTTTGTTGACAATGGAGTTTTTGATGAATGCTTCCAGATGCACCAAATGGTCAATGGTACTTCGTTTTTTTCGGAAACCACATTGGAGGTCACTGAGGAGGTTATTGGTCTCCAGGTACCAGATTAATCGATTGTTGACCATGCGCTCCATGGGTTTGCAAACGCAGCTAGTTAGTGATATAGAAGTCAGAGACGGTGTTTGCCAACCACTACCTCAGAGACATTGCTACCGAGGATGTTTCTGGTATCCACCAGTTTGGGCCTCTTGTTGTAGCACAACAATTAACGGTGCCTCAAAGACGCTGAGACGAATCTCACCCTTTATCACATGACTTGTAAAAGCCGACACTCGGAAGAGTTGGAGCTTAGAGTCAGTGCGCACGTCTAAGATAGGCTAGCATCAGTTACAGACCCTATACTTCTAAGGACTTACTCGTATGTGAAGAAGGGTCACTTTTCCATTTGATGCAGAAATCAAGTCATGGAGTCGTATAAATCCACTTTTACTGTCAGGAGAGGCGGTTCCTGAAAATCTGACAAGTTGTGGCCCCCCCAAACTCATGAGAGGAAGCTGGAAGGAAGGATTAGCATAGTACTATAAGAAGTTCCCTCAAGGACGTAAATCAGCATGGAACACAGAGTGGCTTGACCCGCAACCGTTTCCGTTGGATTCTACAAGCAATTAAGCATGAGTCAGGATAAGGAAAAATATGTAATTTTTTATTAAAATTGATATTTTATACTTATCCTGACTCATGCGGTAAGCCCTTCCAACCTCTCCTCATGGCACTCTGGATTCCCTGTAATCCAGGTGTCGGGCGCATATTCAGGAGAGAGTGAGGGGCATGTCGGATCATGTGACACATTTTTCCACCTAAAGAGTGAAAAGGGAGATAACACTGGGTGACTGATTTTACGTCCGCTTTTTTAAAGAGAGCTTCAAAAGGGGATTCAAGTGTTCCACTATCATTCGCAAGAAGAAAGAGACAAGCACTTAAGCATGAATCAGGATAAGTATAAAATATCAATTTTAATAAAAAAATTACATACTTCAACTTCAACTTGACAAACTTCATGGACATAGACAAACTGCCATGTGCACCCTGCCATGTGCTCCCTGCCATGTGCTCTGTCATATGTGATATGAGAAATAACCAGGGTTCCCAGAACTAAGAGCAAGGACTAAAATACAATCCTCCCTGAATTACCTACCTTAATAATGGAATACTTAAAATTAATGAAATGATCTCCCTTTAACTAATAACTTTTAAGGAACAAATGCACAAACCTATTCAAGCTTAAAATAAAATCGAAACATATCAATATCTTAAGATGAGATAAGAATAAATATTCTTATATGAGCTTATACTTAGAAAAATAATGTGAAAAATTACTTTACTGGAACTAAATGAAATAGAAAGAAAAATCCCGTTTTGGCCATTACACCCTGTTACACGTACTTTGTGCGCACTGCACAAGCTCACCATTACCACAGATATTGATTGAAGGTTCCAGCTGAACAATTTACAGTTTGAAATATGCTGATCTATACCTCAATTCCTCCTCGACAGATTTAGGTGCAGCCAATTTTACTGTAAGTATTTCATACTGTGATATTTTGGAGGTAACAGTTTATCCCGGATATTTCTGCCAGTAGTATTGATTAATCACAGGTATTTGAGACACTCGCGGTAACAACAACAAAGACCGATTCCAGGTTTCAGTATAGCAATTCTTACCATATTTCCCTCTGAACAGATCTGTCTGCAGCCATGTAATAATATGGCATGTGATGTTGTAACTGTAATAATCCAGGAGACAAGACGACAGATAACTCGGCAACTCGGTGAGTACAACTGTTGTTTCACTTTCGATTTGACAGTTGACAATACACTTCCGAGAAGCAGAATAAGGGAGGTAACTCGGTTTACTTAATACCCGGACTTGTCCTAATACTGTTTTATTCATACCTGACACTTTCGCGTCTAATGATTTATCACGGCGAGAGAGAAAATTGACCTGAAACGTACACGTGACATGATTTACGTGGGTTGGAGACACAATTGGCCTTCAGCAGTCCATGCCTATGAGGTGACTAACGGGATAGAGTGGTCAGGCTCGCTGACATGGTTGACACTAGGGCCGCGCAACATAACCGGTTTACCGGTTTTTACCGGTTCAGACATGAAAACGATACGTATTGCGATACGCTGATCGAAAACCGGTATTTTGACATGCATTCGGAAAACATCGTAACACTCGGAAATCTTCGGATATTTCCGTTTTTTTAATTGTTCTTTTCCCTGTTTCATTAGTGCCAAATGTTACTTACATTTTTATTTTATCATGATTAAAAGTTTTGATAAAAGGCTAATCAATCATAGTGATTTTGTTGTGTTTTTGCTTTATAATCAAGCATTAACTCGATTATAAGTAGGTTTTGTTAAAAAAATAATCCTTGCAATATATTGCAATACACATCGCAATATATGCTTCCGCATCGCAATATATCGCTATATGAAAATTCTCTGCAATACTCACCCCTAGTTGAAACATATCGTATTATAATAGCGCAGATCGATGCTCCAACCAGTCTAGTAAAGCTTTTGACAGTTGGCTTGAAATCTACAACAAAACAATATTGAGAATACCTTATATATAAATTGAAATAAAACTAAGTACAGTATAAAAATGGAAAGCAGGGTGTTCTGTGTTGAGATTGTACTAAGAGATGGTACTACATTTTTATAGTAAGAGTGTGTAACAGTGAGCAACTAGATTACAAAGTACAATTATAAAACATATGAATCAAGGCAATAAATAGAAAGCGTTAAAAACATATGGAATAATTGAGTGAGTGAGTTACAATTTAACGTCACATCGGCTGTATTTCAGCCATGTCGTGACAATAGAAAGTCACAGGTTAAACACGAATCTATTTATACTGCTTATAAACCTGTCGTCAAGGTACAGCATGCCAACTGGACTGTCACAGAGCATACTGAAATCTTGATTTGGCCATCATAAAATATGACACTATTATTAGGGTGCAGAAGGACAGGGTTCGATTCCCCACATGGGTACAATGTGTGAAGCCCATTTCTGGTGTCCATCGCCTTGATATTGCTGGAGTATTGCTAAAAGCGGCGTAAAACTAAACTCACTTACTCTGCTGGTTCCCAAGTAGGATTCGGGGCAGTGGGGTAGCCCAGTGGTTAAAGCGTTGGCTCGTCACGCCGAAGACACGGGTTCGAATCCCAACATGGGTACAATTTGTGAAGCCCATTTCTGGTGTGGCACGCCGTGATGTTGCTGGAATATTGCTTAAAGCGGCGTAAAACCAAATTCAGTCAGTCAGTCAGTCCCCAGTAGGATTCAGGGGGAGGTAACATTTACATTTACTAAGAAGTTCAACTACCTTAAAGATTCGGTAAAACAACAAGTAAAGAAGATACTGCTACAGATACAAAGCAAAGCGTACAGGATAATTTATTATTTGACAACATCAGGTGCTTACCTTGGTGAGTACGGTAAGGATGTTTATCTGTCTTAATTGTGGTCCTTTAAATTTTGTGGGGTTGGACGCCAAGTCGCGCAGACTGTTAGGAATGTGGCATTTGCATGTGTAAATATGGTAAACATTTTTAACAATTAAACATTAGCTTGCATTTCATGATAATTTGGGTAAATATGGTAAAATATATCAATATAATGTGATTGTTACATCTGAACAATGAAAAACAGGAAGCGATGATTGGCTGAGAGAACATCGGGGTGTGGTTGTTGGGATGATAACGGTAGGGAGGATTTTGTTAGGCAGGGAATGTAATTTATTTCCTCTAATCGTTCAGGATTACAACAGAATGGCGTTCATTGTCATTACACACTGAGCGCGGTTTTGTATGCAGTTTCGGCTCTGTCATCGTTGCATACATAATATTTCTTGATGGCAATAAAATTACAACAGGTACTGTTTTATAAGGACGAGATGACACCTGGACTGTGAACAGGTAAGGATGTCATGAGTGGGATGACCCCATGCCCTGCTACACTGACAAGGTAAGGATGTCATCTGTGGGATGACTCCATGCCCTGCTACACTGACAAGGTAAGGATGTCATCTGTGGGATGACCCCATGCCCTGCTACACTGACAAGGTAATAATGTCATCTGTGGGGTGACTCCATGCCCTGCTACACTGACAAGGTAAGGATGTGATGTGTGGGATAGCCCATGACCTACTACAATGACAAGGTAAGGATGTCATCTGTTGGATGACTCCACTCCCTGCTACACTGACATGGTAAGGATGTAATCTGTGGGGTGACTCCACGCCCTGCTACACTGACATGGTAAGGATGTCATCTGTGGGATGACTCCAGGCCCTGCTACACTGACAAGGTAAGGATGTCATCTGTGGGATGTCTCCACGCCCTGCTACACTGACAAGGTAAGGATGTCACCTGTGGGATGACTCAACGCCCTGCTACACTGACAAGGTAAGGATGTCATCTGTGGGATGATTCCACGCCCTGCTACACTGACAAGGTAAGGATGTCATCTGTGGGCCAACCCATAACCTGTTACACGGACAAGGTAAGAATGTCATCTATGGTGTGACCCCATGCCCTGCTACACTGACAAAAAAGGATGCCATCTGTGGTGTGAACCCATGCCCTCCAGCACTGACAAGGTAAGGATGTCATCTGTGGGATGACCGCATGCCCTCCTACACTGACAAGGTAAGGATGTCGTCTCTGGGATGACTGTATGCCCTGCTACAGTGACAAGGTAAGGATGTCATCTGTGGTGTGATCCCATGCCCTGCTACATTGACAAGGTGAGGATGACATCTGTGGTGTAACCCCATGCCCTGCTACACTGAGAAGGTAAGGATGTCATCTGTGGGATGACCCCATGCCCTGCTACACTGACAAGGTAATAATGTCATCTGTGGGGTGACTCCATGCCCTGCTACACTGACAAGGTAAGGATGTGATGTGTGGGGTGACTCCACGCCCTGCTACACTGACATGGTAAGGATGTAATCTGTGGGGTGACTCCAGGCCCTGCTACACTGACAAGGCAAGGATGTCATCTGTGGGATGTCTCCACGCCCTGCTACACTGACAAGGTAAGAATGTCATCTGTGGGATGACTCCACGCCCTGCTACACTGACAAGGTAAGGATGTCATCTGTGGGATGACTCCACGCCCTGCTACACTGACAAGGTAAGGATGTCATCTGTGGGCCAACCCATAACCTGTTACACGGACAAGGTAAGAATGTCATCTGTGGGATGACCCCATGCCCTGCTACACTGACAAAAAGGATGCCATCTGTGGGATGACTCATGCCCTGCAGCACTGACAAGGTAAGGATGTCATCTGTGGGATGACCGCATGCCCTCCTACACTGACAAGGTAAGGATGTCGTCTCTGGGATGACTGTATGCCCTGCTACAGTGACAAGGTAAGGATGTCATCTGTGGTGTGATCCCATGCCCTGCTACATTGACAAGGTGAGGATGACATCTGTGGTGTAACCCCATGCCCTGCTACACTGAGAAGGTGAGGATGTCATCTGTGATGTAACCCCATGCCCTGCTACACTGAGAAGGTGAGGATGTCATCTGTGGTGTAACCCCATGTCCTGCTACACTGACAAGGTAAGGATGTCATCTGTGGTGTGACCCCATGCCCTGCTACACTGACAAGGTGAGGATGACATCTGTTGTGTGACCCCGTGCCCCGCTACACTGATAAGGTAAGGATGTCATCTCTGGGATGACTCCATGCCCTGCTACACTGACAAGGTAAGAATGTCATCTGTGGGATGACACCATGCCCTGCTACACTGACAAGGTAAGGATGGCATCTGTGGGATGACTCCATGTCCTGCTACACTGACAAGGTAAGGATGTCATCTGTGGGATGACCACATGCCATGCTACACTGACAAGGTAAGGATGGCATCTGTGGGATCACTCCACGGCCTGCTACACTGATAAGGTATGGATGTCATCTGTGGGATGACTCCACGCCCTGCTACACTGACAAGGTAAGAATGCCATCTGTGGGATGACTCCACGCCCTGCTACACTGACAAGGTAAGGATGTCATCTGTGGGATGACTCCACACCCTGCTACACTGACAAGGTAAGGATGTAATCTGTGGGGTGACTCCAGGCCCTGCTACACTGACAAGGCAAGGATGTCATCTGTGGGATGTCTCTACGCCCTGCTACACTGACAAGGGAAGGATGCCATCTGTGGGATGACTCCGCGCCCTGCTACACTGACAAGGTAAGAATGTCATCTGTGGGATGACTCCACGCCCTGCTACACTGACAAGGTAAGGATGTCATCTGTGGGATGATTCCACGCCCTGCTACACTGACAAGGTAAGAATGTCATCTGTGGGATCACTCCACGCCCTGCTACACTGACAAGGTAAGGATGTCATCTGTGGGATCAGTCCACGCCCTGCTACACTGACAAGGTAAGGATGTCATCTGTGGGATGGCTCAACGCCCTGCTACACTGACAAGGTAAGGATGTCATCTGTGGGATGACTCCACGCCCTCCTACACTGACATGGTAGATGTCCCGTACTTAATGACGCAATACACACTCACTATTTCAACAACAGATATTGATTTCTGGTTCCCCATGAATAATTTACAGTTTGAAATGTGCTTACCTCAATTCATCCTCGATAGAATTAGGTGCAGCCAATTTCACTGTAAGTGTGACGGATATGTCAACCCGTCATGTGTATTTCTTACTAGAATACACGGGTTTTGCTCGGTTAAGTATGTTACTTGTCCGTGTTTTATGATGAAAAGGGAGGAAACTCCAGTTTTGTTGTGAACTGTGAGTTTGGCGCCATGTAACACTCACTTCG